AGAAGACAGCTGGTTGTTACAAAGACAAAAGTAGCCGAAGTACTTCGTCAGTTACACGACATTTTATCAGAAGGACATGTCGATGTTAAGAAAACTTTTCAGAGAGTTCGTGAAAGTTTTTATTAGATGAACAGTTCCGATTATGTACAGGACCTGGTGTAAGAAATTTACCACCTCTGCTATGAATAATGGACCCCAACGAAAAAGAAAGGCTTCCATAAAGCAGTACAAAGTCGGTAATCCTTTTGATCCTTAACTTTTTTTCATTATAAGTATTTTAATATTTATTTAAAAAATACATGTTTTAGCTATCTACGAACCTGTAAAATATTTTAAATATTATACCACTACTAAAATTACATAAAAAAATAATTTTAAATTCCAAAATTAACAAATTTAAAAAAAAATAAGCTTAAACAAGTAAAATACAATAAATCAGTTTTTCCGTTTTTTAAAGTATCTTTCAGATATCAAAAAAAAAAGTTTTTGAGGCCCGGATTTTAATTATGCTTCCTATAATACGAGAATGTATCAAATGTGAACAAGATTTCTTTTGTAAATTTTTTTAGTTTTATATAAATAAGTTTGTAAACATATATTATTTTCTACATACATCTACTATAAATACGTTTTTCCCATCGAATTGGTAGCTTTTTTATTCTAGCATCGTAGAAACTGTTCGGACGTCCTGTAGCCATTAGAGCACAAATGCTTCCACCGCTTCGTTATCGTCGAAATGCTGGCCTCCAAGCGATTTTTGAGGGGTCCAAAAGGATGGAACTCACAAGTGGAAAGGTCTGGACTATAGGGAGGATGTTCCAGTATTTCCCATTCAAATGTTTTAAATTTTTCCCTTGTGACATTAGCCACATTGTTATGCAAAAGAATAACATTTCTGACCGATTGCTTCTTCGTTTTTCTACGAAATAACATTTTTGCGGCTTTCAGTAACTCAGCAATATTGTGCATTAATCTTGCGTTGAACATGTAGTTAACGTGAAAAACACATAACAGATCAAAAAACACTGTTGCCATTAATTTTCCGGCTGACAATTGCGTCTTTGCTTTCACGGGTGTACCTTTTCAGGCCCTCCAGAAAATTCTTGGTGCCATGCAAACACACGGGTTCTTGACAGAGTGTTATCCCCAAACTGTGCCTGCAATCGTAACAAAATTTTGGTTGGTTTTACGCCCTTCGTTGCCAAAAACTTTATTATACTGCGTTGCTCCACGAATACATGCACTTCTTTCTCGCTCATGGTTTCTTTGCATACTAAAGATACGCGATCGGTTTTCTCTCCTCTCCAGAGGTAAAGGCTAACTGCCCATCAATTCTTTCCAGATCAATAATAGCTCAGGAATTTTTTATCCAAAGAGTCCCGTTTATATTTGATATACCCTCGTATTAGCACGGGTGTGAAGTTATCCACATCCACAAATGTACACTGAGAAAAATATAACTCAATCGTAATAGTCATATAACTTGGTTCAAATTACCTGTAGAGGCTTTTCATTTGTAGATGTCAATTGGGGAGGTTTCAATACACAGCAACCATACCCGCAATTAACTTTTGCTTTGTCTCAGGGGGTGCAATTGGGGGTGAAATTTAAAAAAAAATCATAGAAGCCACAAATGGCTTTGTACACCTTTCTGCTTGGGATATGTTATGTAGTTTACTCTTTTCTTCATCCCTGATACCATGCTGGAGTTTGTCGAGCCGTCTGAGGGGGTGCAATTGGGGATGAAATTAAAAAAAAAAACATAAAAGCCACAAATAGCTTTGTACACCTTTCTGCTTGGGATATGTTATGTAATTTTCTCTTTTTTTCATCCATGATAGCATGCTGCAGTTTGTCAAACCGTCTGAGGGGGTGCAATTGGGGGTGAAATAAAAAAAATCATAGAAGCCACAAATGGCTTTGTACACCTTTCTGTAAGCGATATGTTATGTAGTTTGCTCTTTTCTTCATCCCAGATACCATGCTGAAGTTTGTCGAGTCGTCTGAGGGAGTGCAATTGGGGATGAAATTTAAAAAAAAATCATAGACGTCACAAATGGATTTGTACACCTTTCTGCTTGCGATATGTTATGTAATTTGCTCCTTTCTTTCTCCCAGATACCATGCTGGAGTTTGTCGAGCCGTCTGAGGGGGTGCAATTGGGGATGAAATTAAAAAAAATCAGGGAAGCCACAAATAGCTTTGTGCACATTTCTGCTTGCGATATGTTATCAAGTTGGCTCCTTTCTTCATCCCAGATACCGTGTTGGAATTTGTCGAGCTGTCTGAGGGGGTTGGGGGGTGAAATAAAAAAATTAAAGAAGTCACAAATGGCTTTGTACACCTTTCTGCATGCGCTATGATATGTAGTTTGCCCCTTTCTTCGTTCCAGATACCATGCTGGAGTTTGTCGAGCCGTCTGAGGGGTTACAATTGGGGGTCAAATTAAACAAAAAATCATAGAAGCCACTACTGGCTTTGTACACCTTTCTGCTTGGGATATGTTATGTAGTTTGCTCTTTTCTTCATCCCTGATAGCATGCTGGAGTTTATCGAGCCGTCTGAGGGGGTGCAATTGGGGATGAAATTAAAAAAAAATCACAGAAGCCACAAATGGCTTTGTACACCATTTTACTTTCCAGCATGCTATCAGGGATGAAGAAAAGAGCAAACTACATAACATATCCCAAGCAGAAAGGTGTACAAAGCCAGTTGTGGCTTCTATGATTTTTTGTTTAATTTCACCCCCAATTGCACCCATTCAGACGGCTCGACAAACTCCAGCATGGTATCAGGCATAAAGAAAATAGCTATCTTCATAACATATCTCAAGTAAAAAGGTGTACAAAGCCATTTGTGGCTTCTGTGATTTTTTTTAATTTCATCCCCAATTGCACCCCCTCAGACGGCTCGACAAACTCTAGCATGGTATCTGGGAGAAAGAAAAGAGCAAATTACATAACATATCGCAAGCAGAAAGGTGTACAAATCCATTTGTGAGGTCTATGATTTTTTTTTTAATTTCATCCCCAATTGCACTCTCTCAGACGACTCGACAAACTCCAGCATGGTATCTGGGATGAAGAAAAGAACAAACTACATAACATATCGCTTGCAGAAAGGTGTACAAAGCCATTTGTGGCTTCTATGATTTTTTTTATTTCACCCCCAATTGCACCCCCTCAGACGGCTCGACAAACTCCAGCATGCTATCATGGATGAAAAAAAGAGAAAATTATATAACATATCCCAAGCAGAAAGGTGTTCAAAGCTATTTGTGGCTTTTATGTTTTTTTTTTTAATTTCATCCCCAATTGCACCCCCTCAGACGGCTCGACAAACTCCAGCATGGTATCAGGGATGAAGAAAAGAGTAAACTACATAACATATCCCAAGCAGAAAGGTGTACAAAGCCATTTGTGGCTTCTATGATTTTTTTTTAAATTTCACCCCCAATTGCACCCCCTGAGACAAAGCAAAAGTTAATTGCGGGTATGGTTGCTGTGTATTGAAACCTCCCCAATTGAAATCTACAAATGAAAAGCCTCTACAGGTAATTTTAACCAAGTTATATGACTATTACGATAGAGTTATATTTTTCTCAGTGTACATTTGTGGATGTGGATAACTTCACACCCGTCGTATTAGCTATGATAATAATGCATAATTTCGCTTAGAAATATTAGAAAATTTTAAAGATTTTATCAACATCGTTTCCTCACTAACCTCGTCTTTTTCATTTAAAATTAAATTCTATAGTGTTAGTTTCATGGTTTTGGTTTTTAAGTTTGGGAAAAAATCATTTTTGATATATTATATATTTTGTTTTAATAACCTTTCAGAAAGTCCTTCAATATAAGGAAGATTATTATTTATAAGTAACTAATTTTTTTATAATAATAATCTTCAGATAAGGTTATTCAAAAAATTACCTGTATTTAGTAAATAGTATTTTAATCGTTCTAACTCACAAAGAATAAACATAATAAAGGATTAATCAGTATGTTTCAGTATTTTGAATTACTTTTAATTACAGACTGGGAAATTTAAGTATATTTTTGAATATTTACATTATTTATTCCAGTAACTTCAATTAGGTAGTATTTAAGCAATATATTTTCCATATCTACAACAAAAATTGTATAAATGGGTCGAAAATATCATAACAGACCGTTCAATTTACAGTAAGTTATGCGTTGGTATCAAGCAAATTAAAGATGAAGCGCCTAATTACATTTAAACGTGAGTGAGATAGAGTAATTGATTTAACCACGCCCTTTCGACGGCAAGGATGGGGTATTGCGGTATGCAATCGGCAACGTATTATTCTATTTATTTCTATTCAATATTATTATATTTCTAAACCGTTCTGCTGGAGTCAGTACTGAAAAGTTAACATATTGTTTGTTGATCTTGATACTCCACTGCGTTCTACAAAATCAATGAGGGGAGTACCCACTGATCTGTAAATACAGATCAGTGGGAGTACCTCAATACTATTCCTATTTACAAACTACTTTCAGCTATTTATAACCTATCTGTAACTTCAGCGTTCAATCAATCAATCTAACCAGCGAATTTACCATAACCGTTTCTCATAGATAACCTTGGAGCTATCATCAAGGTAACTGTCCATTTCAATGCATCTAAAACACAATCATGCGTATACCAACTGCATCCTGTGCTTATAAAAAATTAAGTTGAACTATTTCTAGCCATTAGTTTAGTCACTAGCAGTCAAAACATTATGTCTTCTATTATCCATTAGCATTACCGCCGGAAATCAATTTATAGCCTGGAATTTCTCCTCATCTAACATCCAAATGCCAAATACGATACCTTCCTATAATCAGTTTAAGACCCGCATCACCAAACAACTTCTGCTTTCGTTTATAACGCAAAAAATTTCTTTAACCACTTTACATTAAGCTTTCTACAAGTACCCAAAATTTAAAAAAATAAAACTATTCCTAACGACTCCTGCGAAAATGTTTACTTACTCTATTTTATAACAAACTGTCTTCGAACACAACTAACTGAGGATCAAAGTAATATCATCTCTTTATAATTTGCGTTTGAATTCTGATCCACGATTAATTAACACTTTCAAATTTGAATAAGGATCCCAAAGTGGATAAATGTTTATTGTTCAACAACCATTTAAATTAACATTGTAAAATTTCACAGTATAATTTGAAACTTTACAAAACAAATGTAATTGAATTGTACTCGTTCTCATTGCAATGAAAATTACAAGGAGTAATTTCACCTGTTGAAACGTATCATTAACAACTAATTTTTAAGTTACTGACATGTGTTTTTGAATTCCCAGAACATTGTGTATTTCATTGTTTCATTTAGTTTGTTTTAAAAACTTTTCCTTGTTTGATTAGTAGTGATAGGAAACGTGTTTTTTTTAGTCTTAGTGAAAGGGTAACGAACATATTAATATTAAGCTTGTCCCACGACTTCATTTAAATAAATTTAGATATGTACTACCAATTCATTCAAATATTTTCAGTTGAGGTTGATTTATTACTTTGTTGAACAACAATAATAAACTTTGTTCGTTGTAACGAATACGATGTAATATGAATACTTGAAGATGGAAAATAAAAAAAAAGAGGGAACACAAAGCAGTGCGATTCGCAAATAAAAATTAATAACATCAACAATATAAACAATATCAGACAAAAAATACTATTATTTTTAACCGACTTCAAAAAAGGAGGAGGTTCTCAATTATTCGTCGTAATATTTTTTTTATGTATGTTCAGCGATAATTCTTTGTTAGAAAGGGGGTACTTTAGGAGTGGTCCCATATAAATTTGGTCAAAATCTAATAATTGGGTCCATGAAAAAATCCTCAAACTCTTCATTTTTTATGTATGTTTAGCGATAATGCTTTACCACCTTATCCGATTTATATGATTATTTTTTTGTTAATAAGGGGGTACCTCAGGGGTGGTCCCATAATCGATGCGGCAGGGTATATAAAACTACTCATTAAGCATTCACAGAATTACCCCAACCAGTTGCTGGCTAGTTGGCGATATACTGGTTGCATATGAATACATGTCATCCAAAGACCAGGCATCAAATAGAAGTTTAGAAGAAGAAAGTGATGTTGCACTTGAAAATTATGTAGCCGATGAAAATCAACAAATAATGTAGACCCAGCAGTTCCCAATCTTTTCTACATTAAGCCTCCCTGGATTATATAAATGTTCATTGTTATATTAAAAAAACATAATTTTCACAATATTTATTTCTCAAAAACAAAAATATAATCAATTAAATTAAAACTGTGGTATTCATTTATAAAACCAATTATGTATTTTTAATTAAAAATTAAAAAGTAAAATTCTGTTTTTGCGATGTTTGCGCCTGCATTTTCTGAACTAGTTGGTCCAGTTTTTACCAGGGCAATCGTCAAGTCGCTATGGACGATAAGACGATTTCGCTGCTTAGTTTTGATTTGAACCAATGCTGAAAAACATGTTTCACAGTAAGACGAGGAAAACTGCAGTTTTTTTTTTTCAAAATGTCTCCATTGTTAAGAGGTGGTCATCTTTCATGCTAGAATTGGCCTTTATTTTTATAAATTCTTCCTGAATATCTTCTAAGACATTGACCACAAATGGATTTCTAGTTATGGGCTATATTAGTAATTCTGAATTATTAACGCTATAATATAGCTGAAATTCACGTTTTAATGTTTCGTCGTGTTTGATTTTTAATTGTTTCTTGCAGTCGGAAAAAATAATAAATTTTAAGTAATTACTATTTGAGAGCAAAGTTGAATCTTTGATATAAAGACTTGAATGTGGTCGAGGTTACTAACCATATATTTATTAATAAGAGAACATTTAAGAGTCCAAATATATTTTTCTTCAGAATATAATCCCCAATATTCAATAATATTCTGGCCCTCTTTGATTTAGCTCCTCTTGTCTCGCTTATCTTCCTACTGACTTTGGCTATCTAACGTCGGGTGACAAACCATCTGTTCTTCGAGATTGACAAGAAACTTTAGAAATTAAACGTTTCTTCTAAACGCCTCTTGATAGATTATATGCTGTGGATTATATGCTATGGATTATTTGCTATGGATTATTTGCTATGGATGATATGCTAAAAAATATTTGATTAAAAACGTTTTCCACTGCTTCGTAAATTTTCTGTAAACGTCATATATCTGAACTCTTCGATCAGACAAATCCACTCCGCACATTATTTCATTATGTGTGAAAATAGCAGTAAGGCATTCGGTTTCTTTCTTTTAGCATCTCTTTGCTTTTGCTTTATAATTTATGTTTCTGGTTTATGACAATTACAGATCACCAACATCGGAATCTAACTACTTAGCTGCAAGTAAACCTTCCTAACTATTTTGAATTCTGAATCCCCTTTACTAATTTACATAGTTTCGTCTACATTATTACCTTCCAACCAGTGGGGCGCACCTTCCGAGGGGGGCGTAAAGAAATCATAATGTATTCGCATATGCCAGAGTCCCAGCCTCAGGCCGTCAACTTTGTACAAAAGTGTTCAGGAAAAAAGATAAAAGGACTACTTCAGTAATTTTTTCTTCATGTTCTGCACAGATTTCTTTCTCCTTATCACTCTTAATCTTAACTTATCTTTTTATGTTTATCTTTTAGTATAATTTTACATTGATGTTTTACAATTAAATGCTTTTTTACCTCTGTAATTTATTTTAATAGGTGTTCTGAATATTTATATTATTTTTTTGATATTTTTTCAGTTATTATTTTAATATTCTTTGGGACAAAAAAAGATTCGATAGTGTAAGGATTAAATTTAAACACGTATCAGCATTAAACGTTATTAACCAATGAACGGCGAGACATGGCCTCACCTGATCAGTCGCCGTTACTAAAAGAATGTTTTCCTCCCATCTCTTTCCTATTACCTCCACAATTAGTTAACAAATGAACTCAAAAACCTGGAAAGTATAGTCGATATTTACGTAAAGCAGAAAATATTATATTTGCGAAAGCACAATGCCTGTAAAAATTTATTCGAGATACGTCCAATTCTATCCAGCCTCATTTATTTTTTATTCCCTTGTTAATTAAAAGTTAATTCTTCCATGCGTTTTCAATTAAAAACAGTCGGTGTTTCATTTGTATTCGCTGACAGATCTAAAAAAAGCAAAATGTATGGTTTCGATTTCAGAAAATGCAACAAATTTATCGACTGGGTACTTAGAAAAGATATCCCTAACAGCATTTAGTAGCTTAATTCCCGCTATCTCCAATTCCAGGCACGTCCTCACGTATAACACATATCTTTTCAGAAAACTAATTGACACACTTCTAAACGTAACGGATGCTACCGCCGATCGGTAACGGATCCGCAGACAACGAGCCGCATCCTACAGTTCCCTATTGCAGTGGCGCAGTCTGAAAATAAAAAGGGTCACAATCATTTGATAAATTCAAAACAACATCGAATATTTTAATTGATCTGAATTTAATAAATTAGGAGCTAATGACTGCTTTCCCATTGCAGCCTCATAGGTTTATTGTTCCATTCATTATACTGGTAGATTTGAGTCACCGACTATATGGAACCCGAGCTGTAGGGGTTAGGTGACCCATACAGACAGTAACCAGTCCCACACGCTGAGCTGACCTTTGCTGTGATCGGGGTATTTAATACTATTCACAGTCAACCAGCGCAGCGACCCAGTACCCTTGTCTGCGCGAGTTCGATTTGCCGAAATCACGGACTGTCGAGGCCAATTTGATGAAAATTTTGAAATAGACGCTTGTGACAATAATTATTTGTCATTTTTTTTTTATTAATAATTGTTTATCGATCAGTATTTCCAAGTCGTATTTAACTCTTTGTAACAATGGATTTTCAATATATTAATTAAATCTGATCAAGTTCGTGACAGAAATATACACAAAAATTAAATTGTATTATTTGGGTAAAAAGCTGACAGAAAAATTATTAGGGTTCTTTAATTAGAAAAAAAAAATTGATTAGACCGGTCTTATATCAGTAACAATATTTTCTAATTATGAGAAAATATTCTTATTACGCTAAAATACAGCAATGCTAATGCAGAGCTTACAAGTTTTTCTTCCTGATTTAATATAATGAGGAATATTTCTAGCAAGGTCTTTAAAATAAAACTAGTTTGTTTTAATGTAACAATCTTTCGACTATTTTTAACATACTTTAAAACGGAATTAATTTTTTTTATTTTCAGCGATAATTATTTTACCACATTCTATGATTTTTTGGGTAAAAAGGAGGGACCTCAGGGGTAGTCCCATATAAATTTGGTCAAGATCTGGTGATGGCATCTATGAGAAAATCAGCCAACTCAATTTGTAATGGCATATCATATCTATTAAAAACTAGTAAAAAAAAAATAGAAAAAAAAACCTTACACTACATTTTACAACATGCATATGTGTAAAATGTCACAGTCATAGGATATAAAATGACATATGCTCAAAACAAATGGTAAAAACAATTAAACATAAAAAATAGGTAGAGAAAGTAACAAAATAAGAAATAAATATTTGCAAATTTAACAAACGAACTTTTTTGGCTTCAGGGACACGCCGGAACATTTACATATAATTTTGTATATATTACCTGATCAAAAATTTGATAGCCCTCTGAAACAATTGATTTTATAACCAATAATCCCCTTAGTTACACCTTAGCAACAGAAGTTTTTAATTTATTATTCCGTAATAAATAGTATTACTTAATTTTGATTGGACATTGTCATTTTAAATTAAATTATTGACATTTGGATTAAGAAATAACAAAATTTTATAATTATGTCTAATTTTAAATTTGAAATTATAAATTTATGTAGGTACTTTAATTTTTTTAATACATTTAGCGCCACACTCTAATCGAACATTCGCTCCTTAGGACCACAGATTCGAAATGCGTTTTTTTTTTTATAAATCAATTTTTCCTTTTTTAGCGAAGTATCACGATGTAATTTACATTGTAGGACCAAATGCACACATTTTATTATTTGTTTTGTTTTATATTTTGAACAATAATGGCAAAAAGAAGTCTTGCGGAAACAGAGTTGTCTCTGGAACTGGAAAAATTGTCTGATGTTGATGCAGCGGGTTACTCCGATGACTCCATTGCAGACCCTACTTTCTCCCAAAATAAAGAAAGCTCAAGTTCAAGTAAAGATGATTCAACAGAGGTTGAGAACGAGGACAAAGCTGCTGAAGTTGTTCCTTTAGCTGGTATTTTACCAGAAAGGAGGTGGTAACCTGTGGCAGGGGACAGCATGACATTTCCTTTTTCTGCTATTCATACCATGGTTTCTGCAGATGTAATCCAGAAACATCGTGGAGTATCTTATATATCATATTTTGGGCATTTCATAGGCGATGATGTAATATCATTAGAAGAAACTAATAGATATGAAGACGGAATTCGAAAAGTATTGAGCCGCAATAGATTTAAGTTGTTGTTGACGATGTTTTATCTATCAAAAAATGAGGAACCCGTAAACCCAAAAGACAGGCTTCACAAAATTTTCAATTTTTTAAATATTTTTATACAGAAATTCAAGTTATCCTTTTATCCCAAAGAAGAAGTGTGTATTGATGAAAGCAACGTACCATTTCGGTGACGTATATATTTTCGACAGTATCTTCCTAATAAGACACAAATACGGTATCAAAGTTTTCAAACTTTGTGTCAGTGGAAGATATACCTGGCCATTTAAAGTCTACACAGGAAAAGAGCGAGTATATGATGTATCTGTTTCCGAAAAAGTTATCAAAGAACTAATGAACAGACTACTGGATACAGATAGAACTCTATATATACAGACAACTGGTATACAAGCATTTTGCTTTTTGATGCTCTAATCCAGCGGCAAACACACTTAGTCAGAATCCTAAGATCAAATAGAAAAAATAATTCCCATATGTGGTGAAAGCAAAATTGAGAACAGGTGAAGTCGTAGCTCAACAAAATAAAAATAAAACTGAAGTCTGCAAATGGAGAGACAAACAAGATGTTTTGATACTTACTACCAAACATGATGATTTCATGGTTATAGTAAATCGAAGGGGACATGAAGTTGATAAACCTACAATGGTGGTTGATTATATTGATTATAACAAAGGAAAGACTTTTGTTGACCACTCGACCAGATGGCATCATATACACCATATGTGAGAAGAACCGTCAATTGGTATAAAAGACTAGTTTTTCATTTTGCCACATCGAGCGCTATGATAAATGCTTCGTATAACAAAATAAATAACAAAAAAATGAGCATCACGGAATTCAAAGAAGCTGTCGTCGACGCTCTAGTTTACCAAGATTGTAATCCTAGACTATCAAGACCATCCAGTTTCAAACCCAAACACCTCCTGAAAGAATATAAGGGTCCAAAAAGGGTTACCAGATAAAGGTGCAATCCGTGCTATAAAACTAGGTCCTAACGACAAGATCCAGTTTATGCTTGTAAAAACGCAAAAAAATCAATACATACTGCATACGTGCAACCTGCCAGTATGCCTCAAATACTTTCAAAAGCATCTAGCAACTTTTTCATTTGAATAAGCTATTTTTACTTAATTTTTACAATAATTTTAGTTGAATTGGGTTGGAATTACTTGTTCATTTTATTTGTTGTGGTTTTTAATATTAGAATATAGTTTTATTTGTTTGTATAATATTTCAATTTAATTTCATTTATTTTTGTAATAAAATATGTCAAAGTACCAAAATATATTAAAAAAATTTAACCCTTAATTATTGTATTACTATTGTTAATTTAATATTAATATCAGTTTATTCCTAGGAGTATTTAAAATTTTACAAAATTAAATAATTTAGTGTAGTAGGTAGTAGAAGCAGTTTTCTTCAATTAAATATTTTAAACTACTTCACTGCACGAATCCTTTTTTTAACTTCCTTGAAATGAAATTGAGTCTTAAATCTCCAATACTGAGCGCCTGATTATATTTACGATTTTATATAAGGTAAGGACTATTTGTAACGACATATTCTATGCGTATACATTTTGTCAGCCCACATGTTGATCGAAGGTAGCAAATCTAATCTTTGATTACATGAAAACGGGTTTTACAAAATAAATTGTTTTGTATTTAACACAATGGTAATATCGAACAGTTCTTGTAAATAAAAACATATTTAAATCAGAATTTGTGAGGATATCTTCGTCCCTTCTTTTGGTTTTGAATTTACAGACATGGATAGTTAGTCGAGTAATTCCAGACTACTAACTGGCTTATTTCTCAAAGAAAAAATCTGATGTGTCCAACACATGACTTTCCTATCTAGTTATATAAATGTTTAGAGGATAAACTAAATATATACATTGTCCACATACATCTACCTCGAAACATTTTTCTATAGATATTCATGGAAAACGAAAATACTGAAAAATTTTAATTTCCTACAATTTTTTCATTACGGTCCATTTTAGAAAAATCATGTATAAACAAAAATTATAGAGATCGATATCGCAAACAACTTTTATTTCAAAAACTTTCATAATAAAAATCAGAATTTTGCACATTTTGTCAAATTTCTCGAATACGGACCATTTCAGGAAATTTTTACATAAAACAAAAATTACAGATAATAATATTAGAAGTAACTTTTATTTGAACAATTTTCCTCTTCAAACATAAATAACAGATATATTCCATAAAATATAAAAACGGCCTCCCATAAAGTACCCCCCCAGATGTTCCGACTTTGTCCAAAATCTAATCATTTCACGTCAGGCCGAAATAAACCTTAAGTTTAAAATTTAATGTTTTTTTCTTTATCCGTTTTTGAGTTTTCTTCAAAATTCGAAATTTACACATTTTCTCAAATATCTCGAATACGGTCCATTTTAGAGAAATTATGTAGAGAATAAAAATTATAGAGAATTATATTACAAATAACTTTTATTTGAACAATTTTTATAAAAAAATATTTTTTTTACATTTTGTAAAATTTCTCGAATACGGACCATTTTAGGAAAATTTTGTATAGAACAAAAATTATAGATAATAATATTAGAAGTAACTTTTATTTAAAGAATTTTCTTCTCCAAACGTAAATAACAGATATTTTCCATAAAATATAAAAATGACCACCTATAAAGTACCCCCCCAAATGTTCCGACTTTGCCCAAAATCTAACCAGCTCATTAGACGCTGAAACAAAGCTTAAGTTTAAAATTTGGTGTTTTTCTGTGTATCGGTTCATGAGTTATGCGTTATACAGACACACACACACACACACACACACACACACACACACAGACACACAGACACACACACACACACACAGACACACACACACACACACACACACACACACACACACACACACACACACACACACACACACACACACACACACACACACACACACACACACACACACACACACACACACACACACACACACACACACACACACACACACACACACACACACACACACACACACACACACACACACACACACACACACACACACACACACACACACACACACACACACACACACACACACACACACACACACACACACACACACACACACACACACACACACACACACACACACACACACACACACACACACACACACACACACACACACACACACACACACACACACACACACACACACACACACACACACACACACACACACACACACACACACACACACACACACACACACACACACACACACACACACACACACACACACACACACACACACACACACACACACACACACACACACACACACACACACACACACACACACACACACACACACACACACACACACACACACACACACACACACACACACACACACACACACACACACACACACACACACACACACACACACACACACACACACACACACACACACACACACACACACACACACACACACACACACACACACACACACACACACACACACACACACACACACACACACACACACACACACACACACACACACACACACACACACACACACACACACACACACACACACACACACACACACACACACACACACACACACACACACACACACACACACACACACACACACACACACACACACACACACACACACACACACACACACACACACACACACACACACACACACACACACACACACACACACACACACACACACACACACACACACACACACACACACACACACACACACACACACACACACACACACACACACACACACACACACACACACACACACACACACACAGACATCATCGCGAAAATAGTCAAAACGGATTCAGGGGACCTCAAAACGTAAAAATCCGTCGAAAACTCGAGGTCGAAAAAAATCATGATTCCTATACTTTCCTTATATCTGTATACAGATAGGAAAGTAAAAATTCGACATGGATACAAATAAAAACTATATGGTTGTGTTTCTTGTATTATTTTTCACATGAATCTTTGGTTTACGACATTTCAGGTCTATGCAGAACTTTTTTATTTTTAAAAAATGTAAAATTTTGCATTTTTATGAAACAGTTGATGTTAAACAAATAGAAATTCATATCTCAGTAAATATTTGAGGCATCAATTTGATTTTTTTTTTAATTAAAGTAGAAACATGAGTGCCTCTAACAATACTAAAAAATTTCAAGATAACACAATATTTTGTTGTAAATAATTAAAAACTTTCATCTTATACCGTTCTTGCAAAGTAAATTTCGACATGGGACAAACTTTGTTTAAAACAACTGTAATAGTAACAGATGTAACTATGTAAAAGAAAGTTTAAAATATTCTGTAGAATGCTAATGCAAGAATTGTGTTAACACTATTGTAGAATTAGAAAAAGAAAAATCAAGAGCTGAATCTGATACTCAATATTGAATACATAAAACAGGAATAAAAATAAAATATAGATATAATTCTGCTCATGTTTTACTAGTCATGTGATCATTCGAATGGTAAATCATTCGAATATTCGATTATTACCATCATTCCAATTAATTCGATTATACCAATATCATTCAAATCATACGCACCTTCAATCCATACAAATCACCAAGACCAGATGGGGTACTGCCTGTACTTTTGCAACAGGCAATAGAAACGCTAGCCCCGCATATTTGTAGGCTCTACAGGCCAAGTTTGGTGCATAAACATGTACCTAATACCTGGAAACAAAGTAGAGTTGTCTTTATACCTAAACCAGGGCGTCCAACGTATACCGTGACAAAGGCTTATAGACCAATAACTCTGACGTCATTTCTATTGAAAGGATTGAAAAACTAATTGATCAGCATATCCGGCAAAGCACTCTGATAGAGAGGCCATTTCATACAAACCAACATGCCTATCAATCAGGAAAATCTCGTAACCAAGATAGAGGGGGGACTCAGCAGTCAAGAAAAAGTCCTAGGAGCATTTCTTGACATAGAAGGAGCCTTTGATAACACCTCCTTTGAATCAATGGCAGCTGCCGCTCGCAAACATAGATCAGAAGACACCATCTGCTGGTGGATAGAAGACATTACGCGGACGGCAAGTACATGCACAAATGTTTAGCGATACCATGCAGGTGAATACCTACAGGGGATGACCACAGGGTGGAGTCCTTTTTCCTCTACTGTGGAACCTAGTGACAGATGAACTGCTGAAAATACTGAACAATCAAGGGTTGTACGCCCAAGGATATGCCGATGATATAGTCATCCTTATCCGAGGGAAACACCAAAACACACTCTTCAAACTCATGCAAATAGCTCTTAGGCAGAGATGTGGTGCGTTAGGAAAAACCTCTTGGTAAATCCTAACAAGGCACAACTCAAACAAGGTTGGAGGTCTTAGAAACTCTGACTCTATTTGGAGGAAGGCTAAACAAAACGAACCAAGTAAAATATCTGGGTCTAATCCTATATAGCAAACTTACTTGGAACCAATACTTACAAAAAGTGACCAACAAATGTAAAATATCTCTTATTGTAGGGAGACGGGTATTTAAAAAAACATGGGGATTAAAACCAAAAATGGTCAACTGGCTATATTTGGCAATAATAAGATAACTTATGAAGCGGTTGTTTGGAGGCCAAAAGTAAACCAGAAAACAGCCCTCAATACCCTCTCAGGAGTTCAGAGGCTGGCCTGCCTTTGTATTACAGGAGCAATAAGAAATACACCGACAGCCTCTATGGAAATTATTCTAAACCTCCCACCCCTTGACCTAGTCCTAAAGGGGGAGGCCAGAATGAGCGCATACAGACTGGAAATCTCCATCAACTGGAACCCACTGGGACACATAAAACATACCAGAATAACACATGAAGTAAATGATTCTATATTTAACATGGGATCAGATCACATGACATCCCTCCTAACCTTCAACAGACTCTTCCAGGTCAACTGTAACTGGAACGAGGTAAATAAGGAGATAGATAAATACTTGCTTAGCGGTCTCGTATGGTATACGGATGGATCTAAAACTAACAAGTGAACAGGCTTTGGCGTACATGGAGTTAAACCTAAATGCGACATCATCGCCTCACTGGGAGTACACACCACTGTATTTCAGGCTGAAATACATGCAATCGAATTATGTGTACGAGAGAATTTAAGGAGGTACAAAAAACAAACCATCCTAATTCTCTCAGATAGCCAAGCAGCCTTAAAGGCTCTTGATTCAAACAGAATAAAGTCAAAGCTTGTCTGGAACTGCCTTGGAATACTAAATGATCTGGCAATACACAACAAGGTAAAACTAGCGTGGGTACCAGGACACAAAGATATCCAAGGAAATGAAAAGGTTGATGAAATCCAAATAGGGATCAGATGTACCATTCACAGGACCCGAACCTGTATTTGGGGTAAGCAAAACCTCTGTTCGACAGGCAGTGAACAGGTGGATAACCACAAAATACCAAATTCACTGGCAACAGATAAGAGGGAACACAATCAGTAAGCTCATGCTAAGGGGACCAAACCCACGCATGGCTACTAAGGTAATACAAGTACACCATTGTGGGATTACTAACGGGGCACTGCTTGCTAAAACACCTTTATGTGATGGGATTACACAATGATCCCACTACGTGTAGACACTGCATGGAAGAGCGAGAAACCTCATACCATGTGATCTTCGAATGCGAAGCTCTTACTAGACGACGTTTCACCCTAGAACCGGAAAGAATGCCTCAGGAACCTATTAAAACTAACCAAAGACACAGGACTATTCAAAAGATAGTACCTGAATACTGGGAAAGCAGGGAGATATAATAAACCCAAGAAGCCGCAGTGTTCTGGGCCAAACCTAACACTACCTGCTTACAACCGATAAAGATAAAGACTCAAATCATTTGAAATGTCTGAAATTGTAATAAACAAACTAAATTCACTTGGGGACCTACTTTAAAACTGTGGGAGTACTCATTTCTCTCAAGATTTTAATGAGAAATGTAATACGTCAACATAAAAATAGTATTTTTAAAGCCAGTGAGAACAGACTGTTTTTATCAGTTTTTTCGGCAGAAATAATATTCTCCTAAGAATTCTAATTCTTATTGGCTTTCAAAATACTGTTTTTACGTTGACATATGACATTTCTTATGAAAATCTTGAGAAAAATCATTTAAAATCGTAGGAAAATAGGTGTCCAGGTGACTTGACATATTTTCCTTAAGTAGGATACAAATGCAACGTTTTTTCTCTTTTAGCGTATCGCATTCTAATTTGATATATACAGGGTGTCCCGAAATTAGACGGTCATATTTTAGCAGCGTAATCTACATCCTAAAATAGGAGTAAAAGTTCATATAAACATAGGTCTGAAAACGTTTCGTTTTCGAGATACAGGGTGTTACAAGTGAAGTCCTTAATAACTGGTTTTCCAAAGGTAAAAAATAATAAAATTTCTGATTCCACAAGCCTACTAATTATTGTTTACACTTTCTAATAAGATAACATCAACTTATCATGAAATTTTAAAATGCTTTTCTCTTTAAAATTGTTTAACATTGTTTTTCCAAATTTTATAGTCAAAAATATTAAAAACTGACACCAAATAAACTTAGGGCAATTTTACCCTAAGCCCCCCCAAATTTACCCACCTATGAAGATGATTTGTACCATATTTCATTTAGTTATCTTTAAACGTTTAGAAAATATTTATAAAAGTGTATCATCAGGACTTCACTTTTAACACCCTGTATCTCGGAAAAGAAACATTTTTGGACATATGTTTATATAAACTGTTACTCCTATTTTAGGATGTAGATTACGCTGTTAAAATGTGACCGTCTAATTTCGGGACACCCTGTATATGTCAATCCGGGGAACCACCTAATCGTACCAATCAGTAAGACGCACACCGGCGCCGTAAACAAAACAATTGCATGATAAATAGAAGTAAATATTGGCATATGACGTTTTAGACTTTGATCTTCTGCGTTCAGATTGAATATTTAACTGTCAATATATTAACTTTTGACACATTGATCGTGACCTACTCAATCATTGATGATGGCATATAATAAATCATTCGAATGATATGTTTTAAATACTCGATGAATTTGAATTTTAATCATCCGAGTATTCCATTATGACTATCATTCGATTATGCACATTACTAGTCGTTACTAGTAGCCAGACCATCCATTGCCTACGCGTTACTCCGACGGTGCATTAACAAAATCATGAGTTAAAAACTATAAATTATATATCAATAATTCTTCCTCCCAAAAATGTTTACAACCTTTCTCTTTATTTCGTTCTCAGCATATACCGACATATTTTAAAAAATAAAAAAGTTGTCAAAATTTACTCTGAATGGATGGTGTAAGATGGGAGTTTTTAATTATTTTCGACTAAAAATATTGTGGTATCTTAAAATATTTTAGTACTGTTAGAGGCGCTCGTGTTCCTATTTCAATTTAAAAAAAAAAATCAAATCGATGTTTCAAATATTTACTAAGATATGGATGTTGTTAAACAACAACTGTTTCATAAAAATGTAAAGTTCACAGACCGGAAATATCGTAAATCATCATTGTTAGTGGAAAATTATGTAAAGAACACAACTATGTAGGTCTCATTTAGTTCTACGCAAAAAAATATTTTTGTCACAATTAAACGCCGATTTTATTCGACTAAATTGGATTGACAGACTTTCGCATAAATCACGCCAAATTCTTTCGAAACGTACCTTTAAACTGATTTTAAAATCATAATAAGCTAATAATAATAAGCTATGCTTTTACTCGTATTAAATTCACTTTTTAATACATAATTATCCAATTGCACTAAACATGTATGGAAATTGTGAATGCCTATAACAAATTCCAGTTTGGGTACAGTACTTAAATCATTTGAAATGAAAGTAGGTTTGCGAGAGACTGCAATAATCTTCCCACATATCCATTGCAAATCAATAATTTAGGACATGTTTCCTAATAATTGTATATTTTGGAGTATAATTTATATTTAGAAGATGATTTATTGAAATTTCATAACATGAAAAAGATGCTTGGCCTCATATTGTGTCGTTTGGTTTGAATTATGTTTAATCCTTAAAAATGACTTAGAACACTTTTTCAAATTTATACAGGGTAATTTAAAAGTTAATACTTTCCTTTGACAGTTTCTGAGTAAAACTAGGATTAAATAGAAGGCTGTACATTGACACTTTCAAAAGCAAAGTTTCGTCAAAGTCTGAAAATCGTTACAAAAGTGTTAAAATGCGCTTAAATGGTTTCGAGCACTCGTCGTTAAGTTTACTGTGACTTTAATGAAGACATTCAAAAAGTACATAATATTTTATCTCAGTTCAAAAATAAAAATTAACAAATATTGTTGTTTACATCAAGGATTTCACAGGATGCTTATTACACTAACATTTTCATCAAAGAACAATTGTTGCTTAGAAGGAGTTAAAAAGTACAAAACTGTTTAGAGTATACTCAATATATAAAATTTAAGATTAAAATGTAGACACAATTTTATAAAATTTTTCTTTTTCAGGTGATTAATCAAGATTTTTATAAAATTTTTATATTTTACATAATTGACAATAAGTTTAAAAATTTGATGTGTCCAAACACATGACTTTCCTATCTAGTTATTACAGGCTTTTTCCAGTTATTTTGTACAACCTATTGTAGCACCTCTGTAAATGTTTAGAGGATAAACTAAATATATACATTTTCCACATACTCGAAATATTTTTTATATACCTATATTCATTGCCAACGAAAATACTGAAAAATTTAAATTTTACTTTTCCTTCAATTTTTTCATTACGGTCCATCTTAGATATCGATATCGCAAACTACTTTTAGTTTTAACAATTTTCTTACAATTTTCTTTTGAACATTTTGTCAAATTTCTCAAATACGAACCTTTTCAGGAAAATTTTTTATGGGACAAAAATTATAGAGAATAATATAAGAAGTAACTTTTATTTGAACAATTTTCTTCTCCAAACGTAAATAACGGATATTCTATAAAATAAAAAAATGACCACCTATAAAGTACCCCCCAGATGTTCGGACTTTGCCCAAAATCTAATCAGTTTACCGGAAACCAAAAAAAAACTTAAGTTTAAAATTTTGTGTTTTTCTCTTTATCCATTTTTGAGTTTTCTTCAAAATTCGTGATTTACACTGTTTCCCAAATATCTCGAATACGGTCCATTTTAGTTAAATTATGTATGGAACAAGAATTATAGACAATTATATTGCAAACAACTTTTATTTAAACAATTTTTATAGAAATTTGAATTTTTTTCATTTTGTCAAATTTCTCGAATACGGATCATTTTTGGAAAATTTTCTATAGAACAAAAATTATAGAGAATACTATTGTTATCAGAACATAAAAATATGTTACTAAAACTAACAAGTCATATATTGTGACAACAATTGGGGCTAATTGAATTTCTTGTCGAAATATAATAAAATTGATATATGTAAATATGGAACACAAAAGTATCCAAACAATATTCAGTTTGCTCTACTAAAAAGTTAATTAGAATGACTGCAGTTTACCTCCGAGGCACTGATTTACCCATTAAATAATTTTCAAAACTTTGACTTTATAAATTTTTTATTGTACCTATTTTTTTAATCTATTATGTTATTGTTTTAGCCTTGCATATATTATTATTATTATACTCTTCACACAGTAGTCTTTGAAGAGTACTATAGATTTACTTTGTCCGATGTCACGTTGTTTGTCCTACTGTTACAATTTTAACTGCAAATCAAACTAAAGGACGCAATAAAAATAATGTAAGTAAAAAAGTAAATTAAAAATAAATATAGGGTGAAGTGTAATAAAAAAATAATAGTTTGACTTTAAACTTTACACTGAGAAAAACGAATTGATACAAAGAAAAAATAGGGTGTGACTGTAATTTACAGTTGCCCCATGACTAAATTTATTCCACTTTACTCTATTTTTCACATTTCCAAGTCTTGATTAAGGATTTGCAGCTGATTGCTTATACCTTTTTACAGGATGAGGATAATCTATATCGTGGAGAAGTTAATACCACAAACAATGACACTAATGAGGATGAGTTCCCATTGTCAAATTCACAAAATCAACCCCCTCAAAATTTGATAGCAGTTAGTGTACCAAGCACATCTAAAAAGCAGGAAACATCTGTAACTAAATTCCGACAAGCGAAAGTTGAAATCTACCTACCAACAAAAATTTCTCTCAGGTCCAAGGAAAAAATTGATAAAAAACTAATGAATTTGTTTATCAGAGACCTTCAACCATTTTCTGTCGTAGAAGACAATGGCTTTAGAGAGTTCGTATCAACCTTAAATCCCGGATATCAATTACCGTCCAGATTTGTTATATCAAAAACTTTACTACTTGCCATGTATGAAGAATGTTTAAACGATGTTAAACAACTAATGAATGGTAGAAAGACAATTTGTATTACAACAGATGCATGGACTTCTATAAACACCGTTAGTTACATTGGAGTGACAGCTCACTTTGTTGATGAAAAGTTTAATTTAAATTCTATTTTACTGGAATGTTCGTCTTCTAATATGCGACACACGGCAGAAAATTTGGCAGCAGATCTGCAAAGAGTATGTAAAGAATGGAATATAGAAAATAAAGTAATATTTGCAGTATCAGACAATGCTGCAAATATGCAGAGAGCCATACAGAATATAGGATGGAAACATATTGGATCTGTGGCACATACAATTAATTTATTAGTTAAAGATGGGTTAAAAAATGATGAAATACGACAAATTATTGCAAAAGTTCGTCAGACAGTAACACACTTTAGAAGAAGTAATATTTCGACTGAAAAACTAATAAAATATCAAGAAAATCTAGGAAATAATCCATTAAAATTAATCTTGGAAGTACCGACCCGATGGAACTCAACATTTGAAATGTTAGAAAGATTTATTCAACTAGAGGAAGCTGTTAAAAGTACTGTGGCTATTATAGAGAAAGAACTTCCTGTGCTTACACACACAGAGTGGAAAATTATAAAATAATTATGTCAAGTTTTAAAACCCTTCAAGGATGTGACGAAAACCCTAAGCGGAGAAAAATATTGCACAACTTCCTTAGTAATACCCCTTTGCAATGGACTAACTAATATTATAAAAAAATTATCGAGAAAAGAGTTACCAGAGCCGATGGCTAACGTAGTACAACGTCTTAAATCAGGCCTCCAGGAACGTCTTGGTAATGTTGAAAAAAATAATACGTTAGAAATAAGCACTTTCCTTGACCCAAAATTTAAACTCTTGGCTTTTTCCAATCCTTCTATAGCTGATAACGTTAAGACAAATTTAATAGCGTTAATAGCAGAGAGTATAATAAAAGACACCCGAGATCACCAAAAAAATACACAAACAGAGACCGTATTTGTTGAACAAGATGGAGACTTGGAAGATGATATGTCAATTTGGAATGCCTTTGATAAAACCATTGCCAAAGTTCAACCAAAAGGTACATCAACATCACGCGCTACCATTGAAATTCAAAGATATCTCGAAGAAGCGGTTTTACCTCGTCAAAACAATTCTCTTTCGTGGTGGCGGGAACACAAACAAATGTTTCCGTTTTTGTCAAAAATTGCCCAAAAAAAATTATGTACTTTGGCAACATCAGTGCTTTGCGAAAATAAATATTCACCTATATTACCTACATCGAAAAAAGAGACTGACGGAAATACCGTTTTTATTTTATAATTTGGTTATTTAATTTTTTCAAGAATTAAATATTTTATTTTTTGTTTTTATTTAACTTTGTTTTAGTTTACCCAACCAAAGCCCTAACACTTTGCAAATAGTAAACGACCAGTATTGTCACGGTTCCTATATTCAGTATATATTTTTCCTACAGTAGCATAAGCTGCTAGAGATAGCGATATAACAAATTGAACGTCGTAAATGTCGTGATCACGTCACGTTTTAAAATCACTGATATCAAAAAATCACGGTAACGGTTAACTGCGTGATTTAAAAATCACGGTATTGCTCATCACTAGTTGTTTGTCTGCACGATAAATCAAATAAATGATATAAACTTGAAAATTTTAAGCAGAAAACAAGCTCTATAAGGGAACAAAGTCTATTGATTTTGAAAAAATCTGATTAAAAATAGGAGGTTAAGATAATTTGATATTAAAAAAAATCCTAATTTAAAAACGAAAAAAAAAAAGCGATAACAACATGAAATTTTTAGCAATCATCAAGCTCTATAATGAGAAGAAGCCCTTCGATTTTTGAAAAAATCTAATTAAAAATGGGCGTTTAAGGAGGGTTGAAATTAAAAAAAAAATCATAAATTAAAAATGAAAACCGAAATCAACATGAAATTAGAGAGACGCTAAAATGGTGGTTCCCACCTTATCGTGACTGAGGCCCACAAGGGTAAACTCGTAGCGTAACAAAAACGAGAAATGTTTTAACTTGGAACGAAAGACCGAAAGCCGATAGTAGTATTAGAACGTTGAATTTTTTAGTTTGTGAAGCATTGGCATTACTTAAACCATGTGATAATTTTCATAAGCCTTGATTTTTAAAACCATTCTATATCGCCTTTTGATTATGGTTTAAAAACTTGTTCGAGCAATTTATCCAATAATAATTGGCCCCTTTACCTCTTATTTCTGCTCATGTAAAATATTTGGTCAACTATGTTAAAAGATCTATTAGAGAAAATTCAATATAATTCGCAATATCACAACTATAATACAAGAAGCCAATCTGACTGTCATGTACGGCAAACCATCGCTAAAAGTTCCCAAAATACAATTTTTATTAAAGGTTTAAAAAAATTACCTACAGAAATTAAAAAAAAAAACAACAATAAATGTATTCAAAAGTAACCTTAAACAATACTTGATAAATAAACAGAAAGGATATACTTTCTTGTGATAATACTCTTTAAACCTGCCCTTTTTAAGTATTTCCCTTACTTTATTGTTATTTTACCCCTCGTTTTACCCGCATTTATTATAAATTATTTCTGTTTTGAAATCATGTACTTTATTTAAAAAATACTTGATGTTATATTAATACTACTTACTATGTTTAAATTAAATAGTTTTGCGACGATAGGTTATAGCAACTTAAAGCCACAAAACTATTTTTGTGTTAAAGTAGATCCATAGAGAGCAATGTAATTTACAAAGGCCTTCTTTCAATATAAAAATAAATGACAACTTTATAATTAAAATGAAAAACAACAAAATACCCTGGTTATCATAATTGATCATAATTACATTACGTCATTAAAATCCCAAGGTAAATTTTACGAATTGAGGAACTTTATGACTAGGAGTTTACTAATTATTATTTACAATTCGCTGGTTGAATCTATTTTGAAATATAGTATAATCTGGACTATATGATATTGCACTTCAACCCCTTAATGTAATCAAAAATCGTATATTTAAAATTATCTATAAAAAACCAATATTATATCCTACCTCTCTTTTATATAATAAAAAAGTGCTTTTTATAAGAACATTATATTATCTGTTTTTCTGTACCTTTATTTATGGAAAGCCTGAATTGAAATAAACTACAAATTATTTGCAATAAATATCAAAAGAAGCACACATTCTTAAATAATTTGACATTTAAGAATCCTGCACATATTACAGTTGACATCTTGATACTTGACAGGCACAGCCAAGTATTATTCTGATTGTTGCCAAATAAAATGGCCGGTTAATTATTCTAAGGGGTTACGACAGAGAGCCAGTAAATTTGATGAAGGTATTTTTATGGCTAGGGGAGAAATAGTAGTACGCTTAAGATAAAAACTGCTTAAGAAACTGCTAATAAATTTTTCATAAATTGGCAGACTTGGCGACTAATTTCGAATAAAAATAGCCTCTAAAATGGCTATGGTTGTAAGTATGAAGGTCACAACCCGCCTTAGAAAATAAATTTCACCTTTACTAGCAAGAGCTATTGTTTGACAAGTCGTTAGAGAAGGTTTGCAATTTATGGAATGTTAAGAATGTTAGGAATGTTGACGTTAGAAATAATTGGAATTCCTAAAATTGTGATATAAGAAATGCATAGGCGGATTTTAAGAAAATTTATATTAAAATTCTGAAAATTAATAGGGTTCTAAGTTAGAAGTGATTATTCAAGAAAATCAAAACCGGAAGTCAATCAAAACTTTCGTTCTAGAGTTATTGTGCCGGCATATATACACACAGACGCCCAGACGAAATTTTTTTTTTTACATTTTCGGAATCAGAATGATCGGAAACATGAAAAAAAGTTTTAAAAAATGGGGGTAAGAACATTTTTTCGTCTGCACGAATGCAATATTGAGGCCCCAGGAAGGGTCTCAGTAATTTTTAGTAAAAATCAAGCTTTATCAGGAGATGAAGCCTATTGATTTTGAAAAAATCTGATTGAAAATGGGAGTTAAGGGGGTTTGTTAAATTGTGAAGAGTATAATTTAGAATGCCAATTACATATCTTCATTCTAGTTTGTATGTGGGTAATGTTATGTATTGTGATGCGACTGATCTTATAAAGTAAACAGTTTAGTTCACTTGGTTTATTTGCCAATAAAAGGTATTTAAAAAATATATTATTTTATTTGACATGCGTGATAAATTGTGAAAATTATTAAATTTAAAATAAAAACCGAAAAGCGGTAGGTAAAGTTTCATATACTATGTTTTACACAAAAATCAATGTCAAGCTTTGTACATAAACTGATATATATTTAAAAATAATCTTAAAATATGAAGAAAAGTCAGCTGACTATAACCAAAGAATAACTAATAATGTTTATAAATGGTTTTTAACGTATTAAAAACAAAACAAATATTACAATAACTAAAATATTCATTAATAGTTGTAGTCCTTGCAAATAGTATTATATTGATAATAATAACTACACTTAATATAAACCCAAATAAAAAACAGCTATACTGACGCTTGTACAAAGTTTTGAACCGAACTTACAAACGATAAGATTATTGGAAAAAAATGAACACCCTTTTTAAATTACCATTATATTGATTGACATATTTTCACAGCGCTTTGGACCCTTAGGCCTCTGATTAGGTAAGAACGCAAGGGCAGCGTGCATAAAAAGCGAACGTGGAGAGTTCGAATCCTATCCCGGGACAGACCCTTTTCAATTTTATAATTAATTTGTTTTTAAAAATAAATGTCATTATTTCGTAGGAAGGTAATTTAAAAAAAAATATATTTGGGTATTTCTAAAAAGTATATATTTATTTTTTTTGCCTTTGGAATAATACGAAACGTAATTAATAAAATGTTCCAGACAAAAATTTCACGTTTCGATTTAATTAATACTAAATGCTAAATGTCCATTTAGATGGTCAGTTCAGTTATCTGATCACTTGAAATGCCATATTGTTGTAGCAATAATTTTGATGTTAATTTTTGTTTCAATTCGCTGTTAACGCAGTACTCTTTAAATTTTTCTACCAAAAGAAAAAACAAAACCAAATAAATTATTTACTTGAAAAAAATACAATTGCCATAGTTATTTTATTAACTATATTAAAAAATAAATCAATTACCATAAGTAAAAGTATATTTCTAAACACGTATTTCTGTCACAAGTAAACAAGTCTCCTAAAATGAAGTTTTTTAATAACCCCCAATAAACAGTTAACTCAACTTAGGCACTACTTTGCCTACGACAAATGAATAATGTTTCTGAAACTGCTTTAATAACCACAGAATCACATATATTTACCATTAGTTAACTTTTACTTATGGTTAAAAAATATACACTTACGGCTAGTGATCGCTTTAATACAGTAAGTTCTGATAACTACCGAAACAGTAACGAACTAAGAGTCGATTAATCCGATTTCATTTTTGTATTGTCTTTCCTACCGGACGGTCACAGCTCATAGGGAAGCTTAAGTCGAGGTCATATACCTTTTCCATGAAATCCTATGTAGCGTATAGGGTTTTTGCGATAAGTGTACGTATAAATCAAAGTATTAAATATTTGTTCATGAGTGTATTAAAAACTGTGCCATTTTAAGTATAATAATAATAATATGCCTATGCACCTCTTTACGAGTAAATTTTAACCTAAGAAACAGAGTTTGTGCAGAGTAAGGACGGAAATTATTATTATTATTTGTCATTATTACTATTATTATTATTATGTAGGTACCTTAGTTATTTTTTGATACATCAATCGTGTATTTTTGACTGTGATATTTTTTAATTTTTATATATTGTCCCTATTCATATTTTTGTAAAAGTTGATATTATTTTAAAACACTTGAGCACTCAAATTTTTATAAATGTTATTTGTACCTATAGCCTATTAAGGTAAAAATAAGGTTTATAAAATCTAATACTTTCTACATAATAATATTAATGATAAATAATGTTTTAAAGCCTATAAATAATGCAAGATCATGAATACATACGAGGTAAGCGCCAATAATTCCCGGCCTGACATAGTTGCAGATATTTTATCAGGATAAAAATTTAACATTTTATAACTACAAACCTTAGTAGGCTGTGGTAACAAAATAAGCGACTTACGTCAAATAGATTTTAATTGTCACCATTTTGAACTAAAGTATCTCCGAAAATGTCTCAGGTGACGAAAATTGAGTACAGAGCGGTTATTAAATTTTTAACAAAAGAAAGGCGTACACCTAAAATATTAAAGAAAGACTCGATGGCGTATATGGCCAAAGTTCCCCTTCCTATTCGGTAGTGAAGGAATGGGCAAAACGTTTTTGCATGGGTCAGGAATCCCTTGAAGATGACAAAAGACCTGGACGGTCAGTGGCGGTGATAACGGAGG